AAACAAACAAGCAAAAAAGATTTGAATATGAAAATCCAATCACACTCCACTATAAAGCAACACTTTTTCTTTTTTCTTGCTTTCTTTTTTTCTTTTTCTCTTTTTTTTTTTTTTTTTTTTTTTTTTGTGGTACTGGGAACCAAACTTGCAGCATCTGAGCTGCTCCCTACCTGAGGGGGGCCTGGGTGGGAGGCCAGCCAGGAATAAGCCTCCATGCAGAGGTCAGAGTCGCACACAGACTTGAAAGCCAGCTGCTCCCTTCCTGAATGAGCCCCCAGGGCCTGCAAGGGCCATCTCTGTGGAAAGGCCCTGTAGTCCAGCTGGGGGCTGCTGGCACGTGGCGCTGCCCATGGAGCTTCCCAGGCTGCTGCAAACTTTTCCCACCAGGTCCAGCACAGCCTGGGGCCAGCAAAGTGCTCCGAGTATCAGCAGCAACGTCCAGAGTTAGGCCTGAGGGCCTTGGGCTGCCCTACTCCTAACCCTCTGAACTACAGGCTACCATCTGTCCTCGCACACTCTGAGACGTCTGCCCTCCCCCACTGAAGTCTTCCCCTGGAGAAGCCCCTCTGTTCTCCATGGAGCTGCCCATGTGCCTCCCTCCACTGTCCCAAGACCACCCATCCCGGGCCACCCATCCTTGGCCACCCATAACAGGCCACCCTGCTGTGGATCTGTGCTTTCTCCAAAAAGCCTCCACCTTGGGACCTGGGGCTCCCACACTTGGAAACTGCCATAGCTTAGTTCCTGCCATAATCAGAGTCTGTCCCTACCTGGGGTCACCAGGTTTAACAAAAAAGAAATATAAGACCTCTCCTGGTTAAACTGGGATTCCACATTAACTATCAAGCATATTTCTTAGTATAACTATGTCCCATCATTCCGGATGTGGTAGCACATACCTATGACCCCAGCCCTCAGGAGGCTGAGGCAGGAGGATCGTTACAAGTTCAAGACCAGCCTGGGCTACAAAGTGAGCTCAAAGCCAGCCTGAACTGCATAGCAAGGCCCTGTCTCAAAAAGACAAACAAACAAATCTCATCTATTTTATGTACCTCACCTCCACTCCTGCAATTCATTGGAAATCCTGTACTTTCTCTGTCACCCTTTAAATCACTGTCTCCTTAAACCCCTGGGAATCTTGTCCTGTCTCCATCCCTAGAGCATGAAACGCTGACCCTGCTGTGGTCCTTTCACTTCGGCTCTCCCAACTCCTTAATGCTGACACCTCTCTGACAAGCAGACACCCCACTACCCTACCTCCACACTGAACATCATCTTTTCCCTGTTGGCCTCCTGCTCCCCAGAAAATGCCAGCACTCTGGTTCCCAAGGAAAGGTTTGCCTCTGTGTTCCACCACGGGAATACTTTACACCAGTGTCTGTTCATTTAGTTCTTAATGTGGGCTAGGCCCTGTGCTAAGCAGCCAGTTTCTACAGTACATTATGGAGTAGTACTATCAGTCTGATTTTAGAGGAGCCCAACATCACACCTTGTTAGAGCAATCAAATATGCATAGATAAGGTGTGAGCACAAGATGTGTACACATAAGATGTGTATATATTTAAATGTACCTACAAAAATATATATTTAAATATTTTTTTTAAATTACAGTGAAGGACCCATTGCCATTAATCTCCCTCAAAATATTCCTCTTGCTTCAAACACACTTATCCCATCATTCTTGCTACTTTCTGAAGCAGTTCTGGAAGTCCTCTTTCCTGAGTGTCCAAGTGGCTACCTTGATGTCCTGAATGGATTCAAAACATCTACAGCAATTTCTGTCCAATAAAACCATTACTGTGTGTCCCCATGCACCTTATTCATCAGATTTGGTACTATGCAACTCCTGGCTCTTCATCCAAGTCAAAATGACCATGACAGGTAAACACTTTAAATAGATTCAGGACACTAAGGCAGCTGCAACAGCACAACTAAAGACACTCTCAAAAGAGGACTTCCAGAGCTGCTGCAGAAAGTGGTAGAAGCTGGGCATGGTGGCACACGCCTGTAATCCCAGCACTTGGGAGGCTGAGGCAGGAGGATCATTGCAAATTTGAGACCAGCCTGGGCTACAAAGTGAGCTCAAGGCCAGCCTGAACTGCATGGTGAGACACTGTCTCAAAAAGACAAAAAAAGAAAGAAAGAAA